TTTTACATGATGGATTTTCCACCTAATATTGAAAATGTAAAACAGTCAATCACTTAGCAGAAAAATTAACTACGTAAGCACTTAATTGACAAAAGGATGAAATTGGTGTTGAAAATTGAAGTTAAATGATATTTTCGGTACTTTTTGAAGTTCAAGGATGATTGGGTTCAAAAATAAAAGTTGAGGGACCAATTTAGGTATTTAACCTAAAAAAATATGTTACCCACCTAGTATCACCACCTAATTAATTTTTAAATAGAAAAAATTAAAACATGACATCTTTATTTAGAAACTGACAAAATTAATATCATAAATAAAAAAAAATGTAAAGTTGACATCTTTATTTGCACGTTCAGTCCGACCTTAACTGGCCCACTTTTATTGTTTGCACTAATTAGATTCTAAAGCATGTGGTGCTTATGGCCAATCTAAGGACGGTTTAAGCAGCTTTGTCAATAGACATCACATCTATTGCAAGCTTGAAATTTTAGGTTGATGTCACAATTAGCGGGTTGATGTCACAATTGGATGGCCTAATATGACTCGGTTAGGTACCTATATATTAAAGTAGGATTTTCTTAATGGGATTATCTAACCTGTGCCCTAAGGCACAAGTTAGTGAGCAATTAATAGGGTTAGTGAGTAATTAATAAGGAATCAAAATGTATTTAATATAATATCTCTATTTAAATTTTTAAAGAATTTTAATGATAAAATTCTAATTTTTTTTATTGGGACGTTTATATCATTCTCTCCTTCCCTCCCATAATCTCTTCTTATCTCTCTTCCACTTCTCACTCTTTGAAGTCAAGTAAAAATGTTTTCAAATCAAACAAACACCAATTCCAAACAATTCCTCTCCCAGTCATTGTTGGGTCCTTTGGAAAGATTTTTCATCTAGGTATTAACAATCCAAAACCCAAAATTGTCTTCATCATCCTCATCGCTCAAGCTTGCAATGGCAAGGAGGGAGGAAAGGGATGTGAGACACAGGGAGGGAGGCGGAAAGGCATAGGAGACAGAGGGTTTAAATATTTTAGGAGTAATGATTCAGCGGACGAAAATGCAGGACGACAAAAACGCGGGACAACAGTGATACAAAGAGGTTAAAATTGTAATTGCACCACATACATTAATCTTGCATCACTGTCGTCTTACGTTTTCGTCCCGCATTTTTGTCTACTGAATCATTACTCATATTTTAGGGTACTGTTATGAGGGGTATAAATGTCTCAATCCAAAAATTAAAATCTTTTCATTAAAGCTCTTAAAAAATTTAAATAAAAATACTATATTAAATGCATTTTGATTCTCTATGAATTACTCACCAACTGTGTTTTTAAACAATTTTTTTTTTAATTTGTACTTTTAAGATATAAAAAATGTAAAAATTATGCTTTTAAAGATACAATCCAGAAAAACCCATTATAATATAAACAAGAAATGTTATTTATTTTAACATGGTACAGTAAAAAAAGTGTGATATGAGTCAATCTCATAATAAATTAATTAACATGGTTAATTTATTCTAAACCAAAGCTGAATGCGCAAATTAACCTATTCAATAAGATAGAATCTGGTTATCTTGTTCAACGTAAATATGGTCATCCATGTCATGCAAGGTGAGATATTTAAAAGCCAATCTAGGATCGCAATTCAACCTTCACCATTATTGACAGCCTCCATTTCTAGCATTTTGTTGCCAATTTTCTGGGTGGGTGAAAGAGGGAAAGAAAAGACGACCATAACTTTTTGCTGAACTGGTCCTGTATAGTTATTAAAGTCTTAGCCATCGGGATCTGGGATAGAGAAGGGGGTCAGTGGGAACTCAATAATGAACTCTGTTACTAGTTTCTATGACCTTTTGTTTTTATACAAACTAGAATAGAGATGTGGACTCTAGTACTTGGACTTGTTAGATCACCTTCTAATTGTCAACAATATGGTCGTTTCATTTGGACCAACCAACTTTTCATCTATTTAGTTTTTTTTGTTTTCTTCTTACCAATAAACTGCAACCTTAATGCTCATATAAGAAAGCTGTCTACCACAGAAAAATTTCTCTAGTTGTCTGGCTATGATTTGCTGTCTGCACGTTAAGATCATGCGTATGCATGCAGTATATCTGTTCACGTGATTTATTGAAGCATAAATGCCGTATTTGTTAGAATTCGGAGTGACGGTGTTCAAGAAACAGAAGCAGAGAAGAAAAATAAAAGTAGGTGAGAATTGTGTACGTGGCCTCAACACAATATTTGTATCTAATCTAAAATCAATTGGTGATAAGTGAAGTGATTTTCTTTGTATTTAACCCACAAGCTTTTTATTTTTGTATTTCAGGTGGGATTATTTTCTCACTTAACACGCCTCCTCATGTGTAGACCCGCTATGAATGTTGGATCCTGTCACGTGGGTTAACATACCCCCTTAAATGCAAGCCCAGTACCTTCAACTTCGGGTCTTGCCAGGTGAGCTAACAATTAGCTCTATCTTGAACTCTGATACTATGTAAGAATCTTGCATGTGTGTTCAATACAAGGTTTGCATCCAACTTAAACTCAATTGGCTTTATGTTGGCTTTACATTGGATGCAAATCTTGTGTTTAGCCCACATACAAGATTTTCACATGATATCAGAGTTCAGATTCTATCATGGGAAACCCGTTGTTAACCCACTTGCTAGGACTCAAAGTTGAAAGTACCGGGTCTGCATTTAAGGAGGCATGTTAACCCACGTGACAGGACACGACATTCATAGCGTGTTTGAGGGGGCAGTGGGAAAATTCCACATCAAGTATAAAAATAAGAAACTTGTGGGTTAAATACAAGGAATGTTACCCCACCTATTGCCAATAAGTTTTAGGTTGGATGCAAACCTTGTGTTGAGTCCATATGCACGATTTTCATATGGTATCAGAACCTATATTTTGTCCTGAGAAGCACATTATTAGCCCATCTACTAGGACTCAAACTTGAAGGTACCGGGTTTGCATTTAAGGGGGCATGTTAATCCAAGTAACAGAACCCAACATTCATACTGGGTTTGCATGTGAGGAGGCGATGGGAAAATCTTACATCAAGTATAAAAATAAAGTGAAATACAAGAAAAATCACTCCATTTATTATCAATTATGGAATTAGAGATCCCATCACTTGATACTACATAACATTATGCATGTTTAGAGATCTTCAAGATTGGATTCTTTTCACACCTTGCGTTAAGTAGAGAGTATAATAGACAACTATGACCATCTCACTTGTATTGCATATAGATCCTGGACCAAATTCATTCAGCTGCCTACATCTTCATTGAATGCAGGAAATTGAGGAGACGCAATTTCCGCCTCAATTTCCTGGAAAATTAGTTGAGGATTTCTTCTTAATTAGGACAGAATTATATAATAATTATTTTTTTTTGGTAGAAAAATTATATAATTATTATATTACAGCTAAAATGATGAGTTCTTTTCACAGCTTCCCTGTCAGTATTTATTGCATAATTATATACAATATATAATTTTTTTTTTGCCAAATCTCTATTTGTATCCTGCATATTAATTATTTTTTTTACCATCAATACTAAAAAAATTTTACTTCAGTCAACACCTTTCATAATTTAAAACTTATAAAAAAACACAAAAATTAATAATCAAATCCTATATTTACGCTCTAATTTTATTTGTAATTTTGTCGGTAACTTAGTAATTTAACTTGTAAGGGTGATTGCTCCTTATACTTATTTAAATAAAATTTTGATTCATAAAAAAAAAATGTTAGTAATTTAGGGTTTTTAAAGTTTTTCAAATTATGAAGAATATTATTCAGAAGTAAAAATTATAGATAGTGTTGATTATAGAAAAAATAATGTTCATCGCAAATAGGGGTTTGGCTTTATATTTGCAATTGTACGTGGTTACTATTAATGAACTGTGGGGGGTGGTTTGTCCTTAATGATCTCAACCGGCCCATGTGGGCATTAATGGCTCTGTTTTAATTGGCTTGTTAACCAGATCTATTCATGCATAATCAACGAGAAATTTGCCTTACACTTATTTTTTGCCTTGTTTATTGCCTTTCCTTTCTGCATTTTTCCCCACTATAAAAAACACTTTTCCGTTCTAGCTTTTCTTCTCAGCACGGACTTCTTGTTTTTCTTCTTCTTCTTCTTCTTCTTCTTCTTCCCTATTCACTTTCTTCCCAAGAAACTAAAACTAGACATTTCTTTCTCTGCCTTCCTTGCGATTCAAGTAGTAATAACTTGACTGATGCAGATTTTCCTAGCTTGAACTATACTGCTTTGCTCTGTTTCATGTTTTAATCAATCTTTTTCTGTTTTCTGTTATGATCACGTCCATATTTGATAGATGGTATCGATGATCCACATGGATATATCCATGGCTTTAATGATCCTATCTGCCGTTGCACTATATCTGGTATGGTTCAGATTCATCACGAGATCATTAGGTGGCCCACGCGTCTGGCCGCTATTGGGCAGCCTTCCGGAGCTCATCAAGAACTCTAGTCGGATGCATGATTGGATTGCAGATAATCTCAACTCACGCGGGGGAACGTACCAGACATGCATCTGCGCCGTCCCCTTTCTTGCCCGGAAACAAGGTCTCGTGACCGTCACTTGTGATCCAAGAAACTTGGAGCACATCTTGAAGGTCCGTTTCGATAATTACCCTAAGGGACCAAATTGGCAAGCCGTCTTCCATGATTTGCTTGGTGACGGGATCTTCAATTCCGATGGTGATACGTGGCTCTTCCAGCGTAAGACCGCCGCATTGGAGTTCACCACCAGGACTCTCCGGCAAGCCATGGCTAGGTGGGTCAGCCGAGCCATTAAGTATAGGTTTTGCCCTATCCTCGATGCGGCTCAGAGGGAAGCTAAGCCAGTTGATCTCCAAGACCTGTTGCTTCGGATCACGTTCGATAACATCTGTGGCTTGGCTTTTGGTAAGGACCCACAAACGCTGTCACCAGGGCTACCGGAGAATGGCTTTGCCACCGCCTTTGACCGAGCCACCGAGGCTTCGCTTCACCGCATGATTCTACCAGAAGTTATTTGGAAGGTGAAAAAGTGGTTCCGGCTGGGGATGGAAGACAGCTTGAGCCGAAGCCTTGGACACATAGATAAATACTTGTCCAAAATCATCGATGAACGAAAGCTTGAGCTGGCAAGCAGAAAGCAAGACGGGACCCCACACGACGACTTGATGTCCCGTTTCATGAAGAAGAAGGAGTCCTACTCAGACGAGTTCCTCAAACACGTGGCACTGAACTTCATCCTAGCTGGACGCGACACGTCGTCAGTTGCACTGAGCTGGTTCTTCTGGTTGGTCAGTCAAAACCCCAGTGTTGAAGAAAAAATCGTATCAGAAATCTGCACCGTTCTGATGGAGACACGTGGCAGCGACGTTTCCAAGTGGGTGGAAGAGCCCTTGGTTTTCGAAGAAGTCGATCGATTGATATACCTTAGGGCCGCACTGTCGGAGACCCTCAGGCTCTATCCATCGGTGCCGGAAGATTCAAAGTATGTAGTTTACGACGATGTCCTTCCCAGCGGGACTGTCGTTCCGGCAGGATCTAATGTCACGTATTCCATCTATTCAGTCGGGCGGATGAAGTTTATATGGGGAGACGATTGCCTGGAGTTCAAGCCGGAAAGATGGGTCTCCGAAGACGGCAAGAGATTTGAGGTGAAAGACTCGTACAGATTTGTAGCATTTAATGCCGGCCCTAGGATTTGCTTGGGGAAGGATTTGGCTTACTTACAGATGAAATCAATAGCTGCGGCAGTCCTTCTCCGGCACCGGCTGATGGTAGTGGCAGGGCACCGGGTGGAGCAGAAAATGTCGCTGACACTTTTTATGAAGTATGGGCTCCTGGTGAATGTTCAGCCAAGGGACCTGAAGCCTGTACTGATGAAGATAAGAAACGATGGAGTTGAAGACGGGATGATGGATCGTGAGGTACGTGAGCAGTCTCTGGAATAGTGTACAAAGAGCTGGAAAAGTGGTATATATTATGTAAAGCAAGATAATGCAATTTCCAAAATAAGGTTTCCTAAGTCTTGGTTTAGATAGAGCAACCAAAGCAGCAATTGACATGTAGTACTGTTGTTTTAATTAAGTGAATAAAATTTTAAGTCAATTATATATTGAATTCAGAAATTGGGCAAATTTTAGTTATTTAAGTTATCTGATTTATAAGAACTAATTAAATATATGGATTAGTGAGTTAGGAATTGTAATGGTGGGGGCAAGCTAAAAAATCTGCAACTGAAAAAAATTTTAAAACTAATAAAATTGTAATTGATGGATAGAGTTTAACTGGGTTTTGAGTTTGTTTGATTAAAAAATGGACCAAACTAATTATAAAAATGGGTTGAGTTTTGGTTACTAAGTCTAAAAACTAAAGAACTGATGACTAGTGTGAATATAATTAAAAAATCTAGACAAAAAACCTTTTATATAAATTTTTAATGGTTTTTAGATTTTTTTTTAAGGTTTCTTAGTCATTTTTCACCGAATTACTTATTTATTTGGATAATTTTTAATTTTTTAGTGACTGAAATTAATAAAATAATGAATACGAAATTCAAAAAATACAAAAAATATAAAAATATTTGTTTAGTTCAAATCAAAACCGATCCAAATGGTTACTCTCATAAGTGTAACCAAAACCAATAAAATCCATATTTTTTAGTTTGGTTAATGGTTACTAAAATTAAAGACCCAAAACTTCAATTAAACTGATAATTTGGTTTTGGTTACAATTGAAACCAAACCGTGCCCAACCCTATTAATTAGTGCTTAATTAACATTGTTATCAAAAGTCAAAGAATCCAAGTAGGTCAATAGTGATTTTAAAATAAGAAATTTTATATTCAAAATTTAAATATAAAAACATTATTATTTGAATTGTTAGTTGTAGTTGGCCCAAGATAATTAAGCACGCCTGCAATTTAAATGAAGAGTTGAGACAACTTATTATTTGTGGGGATTGGTGAGGGACATGAAGTGAAGGTGCTAATTATGCTTCCCTAACCTGGTCAAATGATGTAAAAGTCTCGAACCGGGCCTTGTGGCCCAATGATTCGCCCCTAAGCTTTAGTGCTTGGGTGAGATGGTGGTCGGAGTTTCGAACTTCACCAATCTGTGGCTTGATGGCCTCACGCTTCATTTGAGGGGGTGAAATGTTCACTCGGTCTAAAGATCAATTGCTAACAATTAACTCATTAACTTTCTAACCATGACCCTTGTAAAAAAAAAAAAATTGATGTAAAAGTCCCCAACATTATCTTTCATATCAAAACAATGAAAGGGGCAAAAAGGGGAAGAAAAATGAGGTGTTCAACATACTGTCCAAGCTTCTTATTCCTCACTCTACCAGGAAAAGAGCCTATATTTATTATTAGAATATTAAGGCTATCAATGGTTGGTTGAAGTGCTTCACATATGGCAGCTTGTACTTTTCTGATTTATTATAACAAACTTCTTCCTATACCTAAAATTTTACTACCTACCCTCAAATTTTAGCAAGACCTATTTATATTTTATATAAAGCATGATAATGCAATAACTGAAATCAAGGTTTGATCGGTCTAGATCAAATAATGCAACAATTGACATGTAGTATTGTTGCTTCAATTAAGTGAATAAAAATCTGAGTCAATTATACATTGAATTTAGAAATTGGGAAAGTTTTGGTTGTTTAAGTTCTTTGATTTACAAGAACGAATTAAAGGTATGGATTAGTGAGTTAGAACCTTAATAGTAGGGGTGGGCCAAAAAATCTACAATCGAAAAAAATTTAAAAACCATCGAGACCCTAACCGATGGGTAGGGTTTGACTGGGGTTTGGGTTTGTTTGACTAAAAATTGAATAAAACTAATTATAAATAGTTTGAGTTTTGGTTACTAAATCTAAAAACTTTAAAACCGATGATCATAGTGAATATAACTAAAAAATCCAGATTAAAAACCTTTTATATAAATTTTTTAATGGTTTTTAGATTTTTTTTAAGGTTTCTTAGTCACTTTTCACCAAATTACTTATTTAATTGGATAATTTTTAATTTTTTAGTGATTGAAATTAATAAAATAATGAATAAAAAATTCAAAAAATACTAAAAAATATAAAAATAAGTTTTTAATTAAAACCAAAACCGATCCAAATGATTACTCTCATAACTGCAACCAAAACCAATAAAATCCATATTTTTTTGGTTTGGTTAATGGTTACTAAAATTAAAAACTCAAAACCCCAGTTCAACCAATAATTTGGTTTTGGTTACAACGGAAACTGAACCGTACCCACCCCTACTAATTAATGCCTAATTAACATTGTTATCGAAAGTCAAAGAATCCAAGTAGGTCAATAGTGATTTTAAAATAAAAAATTTTATATTCAAAATTTAAATATAAACACATTATTATTTGAATTGTTAGTTGTAGTTGGCCCAAGATAATTAAGCACGCCTACAATATAGATGAGGAGTTGAGACATCTTATTATATGTGGGGATTGGTGAGGGATATGAAGTGAAGGTTCTAATTATGCTTCCCTAACCTGGTCAAATGACGCAAAAGTCCCCAACACTATCTCTCATATCAAAATAATGAAAGGTGCAAAAAGGGAAAGAAAAATGTGGTGTTCAACATACAACCCAAGCTTCTTATTCCTCACTCAGTCACTCTACCAAGAAAAGAGCCTATATTTATTATTAGAATCTTAAGGCTATCAATGGTTGAGTGAAGTACTTCACGTAGGGCAAATTGTACTTTTTTTATTTATTATAACAAACTTCTTCCTATACCTAAAATTTTACTACCTACCCTCAAATTTCAACAAGACCTATTTATATTTTATATAAAGCATGATAATGCAATAACTGAAATCAAGGTTTGATGGGTCCATGTCAAATACTACAACAATTGACATGTAGTATTGTTGCTTCAATTAAGTCAATAAAAATCTGAGTCAATTATACATTGAATTTAGAAATTGGGAAAATTTTGGTTGGTTAAGTTCTCTGATTTACATGAACTAATTAAAGGTATGGATTAGTGAGTTAGAAACCTTAATAGTAAGGGTGGGCCAAAAATTCTACAATCAAAAAATATTTAAAAACTGACGAAACCATAACCGATGTGTAGGGTTTGACTAGGGTTTGGGTTTGTTTGACTAAAAATTGAATAGAACTAATTATAAATAGTTTGGGTTTTGGTTACTAAATCTAAAAACTAAAAAACTGATGACTAGAGTGAATATAACTAAAAATTCCAATCAAAAAACCTTTTCTATAAATTTTTTAATGGTTTTTAGATTTTTTTTTTTTTAAGGTTTCTTAGTCACTTTCCACCAAATTACTTATTTATTTGGATAAATTTTAATTTTTTGATGATTGAAATTAATAAAATAATGAATAAGAACTTCAAAAAATACTAAAAAATATAAACATAATTTTTTAATTAAACCAAAGCCAATCCAAATGGTTACTCTCATAAGTGTAACCAAAACCAATAAAATCCATATTTTTTGGTTTGGTTAATGGTTACTAAAATTAAAAACTCAAAACTTCAGTTAAACCAATAATTTGGTTTTGATTACAACTGAAACTGAATCGTGCCCACCCCTACTAATTAGTGCCTAATTAACATTGTTATTGGAAGTCAAAGAATCCAAGTTGGTCAATAGTGATTTTAAAATAAGAAATTTTATATTCAAATTTTAAATATAAAAATATTATTATTTGAATTGTTAGTTGTAGTTGGCCCAAGATAATTAAGCACGTTTACAATACAAATGAGGAGTTGAGACATCTTATTATATGGGAATTAGTGAGGGATATGAAGTTATTAGAATGTTAAAGGCTATCAATGATTGAGTGAAGTGCTTCATGTAGAGCATATTGTGCTTTTCTGATTTATTATAACAAACTTCTTCCTATACATAAAATTTTACTACCTACCCTCAAATTTCAACAAGACCACTAGCATGCTTATTTTATTTTTAGACATCAAAATTCATGATGTGATGGCTTGAAATTCTTATTTTTAATATAGGATCTAAAGGAAGAATTGTTACATATGAAGAGTTCCATTTCCTTCTTTCCAAACTTCCACTCCTAGAGAAACTATATGTTTTTGGTTGTGATGGACTTGAAATGTTTTAAGAACCGACCCAATGCTTGATCCATTTTGGGTACTGAGTTTGTTTCAACTAGTTGAATAGATTAAATTAACCAATTCAATCGCTATTACTAGAAAATGACATTTTAAAATTTTTAAAAAGTAAAAAGCAAGACTTGAATTTAAGACATATAGCAATTATGTAAATATCAAACCACTAGACTCAATAGCCTTTATTGCTAAAATTTCTAATTTTTTAACTTAATTATAATTCAATAAAATTAAATGTAATAATTAATAATTTTATAAAAGTTAAATAAAATTTTTTATTTAAATCTTTTAACATCAAACCATTTCCATTAACCAAAAAAAAAAGAAAAAAGAAAGAAAGAACAATACCATTAAATCAATTTTAATTTAAAGTTTAAATACTTGAAATTTTTAATCTTATTCAATCATTGTTAGTTATAATTTTATTAAATAAAAAATTTTAATTCCTAGAAATAAAAGCTTAATTTAGTTTAATACTGTAATCTATAATTTGTATTTAAAAGTAATTATTTTAATTTATTTTATTTTATTTTTAAAATTAACTAATTTATATATTTTCTTTTATTAAAATTTTTTTTAATGTTCTCTTGCATTTATTGTACCATTTAATAATTAATTTTTATAAAGGAAATAAAAGTTAGTTTTAATTTATTAAATGTTCAATTAAACCCATCCACATATCATTGACTTAGAAAATAATTAATTGCTAAAAATTACATAATTCACTCTTAACCCAAGTTAAAAAAATATATTAAATAAAATAAAAAATTTATTTATTTTTTTTTTTTTTTTTATTGTAATAAGTGAAATTTTATTCAGTAATAACATTAATCATATTGATGGCCCAATGGTAGAAAACTTAAGAGTATTAAGGGACTGATTTTCTAAATTTTGTGAACTCCATGGTTCACTGGTTCAAAAGTTAACGAGTTTTAATCGAATTTAACTACTTTGACTGGATCTCACTGTACATTGGGTTTCTATCATGAACCAAACTATTTTTAAAACAGGTTCTGATTCAACCCGTCAGACCAACCAATCTGGTTTGGGATTTGAAACAATGCTTGAAAGGATAAAGACTTCTTCTTCGAGTTCACGAATCAAGAATCTAGCTATGTAATGTATCGTGAGATGCCCCCCTCAAGATAGAAATGGCAACACCAAGTCTGAAAAACTTTTTCATTTTAGCTTGATAGATGTGGGAATTGGGAAAGAAGCTAATTATGTGATCAAGGAGGCAGATTGTTGTCATGGTTTGGAAACTTTGGTGTTGTGTAGTGGAGTGATGATACATAAAGAGAGTTTAATAAACTTATTTCCAAATTGCCGCTGCTGAAGAATCTCAGGATCTTATGGAAGTCATGAGTTGAGGAGAGTAAAGATTGCAAGCCTACAAGTTAAGAGACTGCTTATTGTTAGGTTTTTTTTTTTTTTTAAGTGTAATGGTTAGTATGTTAGTATTGTTAGATGTTAGCAACTGGAGATTCGATTCTTAGATATGATGAATAGCCCACCAACTTCTATGAGGCGCACGGCCAACAGGCCGCTTGGTGGAGTTCACATATTGTTAGTTAGATGTTGTAGATTGAAAGACGCCAAGGTTGACAGCCTAAACTTGTTTTAGATGTGTTCTAGGGGACAGCCCAGTTTGGTGTGGAGTAGATTGTGACAGCCCAGTTTGGTGGTCTAGCTTGGAGGAAATGTTCTCTTCAGGTATCTTGTCCAAAAGACTCACTTTGTATTTTTTTTTTTAACAAGTTACAATTTTTATTTTTAACAAGTTACAATTTTTAAGAGAAAGGAGATTCGAAGCCCAACCCTAAAGTTATGAGGTGTACTTTTACAATCCGGCATATAACCATCAGGTCATGAACCCCATGTGCAAAAGACTCACTTCTATTTGTTGTGTGTGAAAGCTATAGTTACAATACAATCTTACTTACATTTAAAACTTACGATTGTAATGGATTATTATATGATCCCTTTTTATTAAAAAATTTACTTATAATATTATATACTCATTTAATAACGTGTTAACTTTATTAACTTAATCTTACATATAACATTACAGTTATAACATTATCAATTTATTGTGTGACCAGTGAAACTAGTAAGTAGAAACTGACTGCAGTGCTTGTTATTTTTTTATTTTTTACATTGGATTTTTGACAAATTTTTCTTTTTCACTTCTCCATGGATATTTAGTTGTTTCAACATCTTGACTGTGTTTAACTGTATGTTTTTAAAAATTCCTTGAGCATGTCGCAATGGTATGATACAACCATAAATATCTAATCTAAAATGAAACATAGATTTGAACACAAGGGAATTTATTGGTAGGAAGTAAAGTTAAATTCAGCACAAATGACAAAAATTCCTTCATTAGATAGCTGTCGCAAGTTTCTACAGATAATCCAGATAATTTACACAAACGATACTGTAACGCAGCGCACCATCAAGGGGTTGAAAGAGAAGAAAAGCACAAGAAAAGAACACACAGAAGAACCATGCAAGAATTTTAAGCCCTGGCCTTGAAAGGAATAGCCCTAATCACTATCTGGTGGTAAATGGCAGCAAGAGCAGCTCCAATGAAGGGTCCCACCCAGAAGATCCACTGCAAAGAAAGAGAAAATTTCAATGAATATCTCACACCCGAATCCAGATCATAAGAGAAGGGAGGATTCTCTAATACAAGAAGTTAGTTACTTACCTGGTCATCCCATGCATGGTCCTTGTTGAAGATGATAGCAGCACCAAGACTCCTTGCTGGGTTGATGCCAGTTCCAGTGATAGGAATAGTGGCCAAATGAACCAAGAACACTGCAAACCCAATGGGAAGAGGAGCCAAAATCTGAAATATAGTGCCATCAAGCCAAAGTTCAACTGCTGTGCCTGTGTGATTTACAAACATTTGCTAGTGTAGCAATAAACTAGAAAAAGGAATCTAACAAGCAAGAAAGAGTTGGGTAGAGAAGCCAAGATGAGAGCAGGATTGTTGTGTACTCTAGTCCAATCGTGGCCCAATCTCACTTGCATTAACTACTTGATTCTAGAGAGACTTGATTTTACACAAGATTCCACTAACTACTTGCTAACACGACAGGATCGACAACAGACTTTGGTGCTTGACTTTTGCGTTCATTTAGCATGCATGGTGTGTATACATGCCTTTTAGCATGATTTCACCCATAGAAATGCACACAGATCCTATTCTATCTGAATATATGAAATCAAAGGTCCAAAACTTGTCTGTGCACCATGTTGACAGTATGTGCACATAAAACTTACGCCTAGTATAAATAAGGATTCTCACATGATTTTGGTGAAGCATGCATTTCCCAGCTAAAAACACCTCCAATAGCACTAACTTGTATAACAAATATCCCTACGTAAAAAGTAAACTAGAACTCGACTTGGCTTACCAGATCTCTTGTCCAAACTTAGCCTTTCCCATCAAATTATTCAAAGGGTACTGCTCTTTGGCCGAAGAAATCAGGATTAAATGCAGGCCAAAAAATCAAGGGCCCTTTGATCATGTGTGGCCCTCACACAAAGGAGGGGCTTGATTTTTGACTTACCATTTTGCCTGATTTCTCTCAGCCTCATCATCATTTTCCTAATTGAAGATAATCAATTTTCATAACCTTCAAGTTCTTGTTTCCCTGATGAAGAATGGTCTATTTAATCTCCTTTCATTAAATAGAAAGACTCTAAACAAAGCCAGAGTCTGATACCATCAACCAATGAAAATGGAAACTATTAAGCAGAAAGGGATCCAAACTGTAATCAACAAACTTTACTACACTTGAAAAGTAGTGGAAGATATTAGACAATGAGTCTCAATCCTTTTTCAAATTGAAGTGGCTAGAATTTATTACTAGATAAACTTGATCAAAACAAGCATTTCCATTGCTGAATTCTTGCCACGCCACTATGAAAAAGGACTCAACACACATTGTCTAATAAATCCCATCAACTCTTTTAAGTGTACAACTTGAATCCATCTTTGTAAACTTCGGTTGGAATTATTACGTTTTCTGAGATCTGATAATTTGATGAAGATAGCCTACCATATAACATGCCACCAACCCTGCAACTCATGCGCCCTCACCCTACACCATAAACTATTCACTACATGGAAGAAAAAAATTATTTTTCCAGCATACGCAGACAGCAAATTCCTATGAAGGAAATTGAATATAAATCACATTCTAAAAAATTGAACAGATCCCAGATAAAAAGCACAAAATAGATGTCATGAAGAGGTGGAAAGAATACATACAGGGACATGAGAATCTCTGGCATTTCTCTTGGCATCAGTGGCAGAGAAAACAGTGTAAACAAGAACGAAGGTACCAACAATCTCAGCACCAAGACCATCACCCTTGGTGTAGCCATGGGCAACAACGTTTGCTCCACCTCCCAACAGCTCGTACTGGTGGTTACCCTCGAATCCCTTCACTACACCAGCACCGCAGATGGCACCAAGGCACTGCATCACCATATAGAAGATTGCCCTCGTAAGGGACAGCTTCCTTGCCAGGAGCAACCCAAATGTCACTGCTGGGTTGATGTGTCCACCTGTTGTTGAATAAAACATGCAGATCTAGTCATTAAGCAGGGGATGTAACAACTCTAAGCAGAGTAAAATTAAACCCAGGAAAATTAGCAGAAAAAGGGGAGGAAACTAACCTGAGATACCAGCAGTACAGTAGACAAGGGCAAAGATCATGCCCCCAAAAGCCCAAGCAATTCCTTGGATACCCACAGTGGAACACTTAGTGTTAGACTTGGAGACACCCATGACAGTCAAGATTGTAATGTAGAGAAACAAGAAAGTAGCCACAAACTCTGCAATCCCAGCCCTGTAAAAAGACCATGACTTGAGCTCACCAGGCTCAAACAATGGAGCTGGTGGTGGCTCCTTGTAGTCCTTGTCAGTCTGTGCTGATGTCCCAATGGGCTGCCTCTCTGAGAACTTGTTTGCTCCAAGCTTAACATCCTCTTCTTTCCCCTCCATCTTCACTCACTCAACAAACCAAGCTTCCTTCTTTTTTTTCTCTCTCTCTCAAAAGGAAGCAAGCAAGACAGTGAAGGTGATGAAAGAAAGGCTGGTGGGTTGTGATTTTATACACGGGGTAAGTGCGTTCTTTGGCCTAACTAATGCAAAAATAGATTGGAGTTGTCTTTAATTCTTTACAATTTTATTTTGTCTTTTTTTTTTGTTAATATCTTAATTATGTCTTGCACTTAGAGCTTCCACTTCAGTAGCGTTAGATTAAGTATAAGTATATTTTTTACCTTTAAAACAATGGTTTGAATTCCATCATTTGTGAATTTCTTCAAAAAAAAATATCTTAATTATGTGTTAGGAAAAAAGTGTATAAAATGGATTTTTTTTAAATTAAAAAAAATATTTTTAAAATTATATTATTTTAATAAATTTTAAAAATAAAATTAACTATAATACTTTATTATTATTATTTTTTTGAATATTTTGACACGGGACGGGTTCGAAACCCGCCCAGGAAGGGAATGCACCTAGCAAGCTGGTTAATTCCAGTGGACCTCTAAGTCCAGATGCAACTGTAATACTTTATTTATAATGTACTTATAGAGTATTTTTCATTTAATTTTTAAAAATTTAGATGATAAAACTAATCTCTATATATGTTTTTAGGGATTTAAATTATTATTCTGGGATAGGGAAATTGGTTTATGGATGAATGTTCTAGAAAGGTTGACAGGTTCTGGGTGTAATATATTTCTTGAAAGGGTTTTTTAATATATTTTTTCATAATTAATTTACATAAAAATTATAAAAATTGATATATATTTTAATACCATTAATACTTA